GGAGGGCACGCGGAGAGCAGCGCTGCGGATGGTCAGCCGGGCTGCAGGGGCTGCCTGTTTGGGATCACAGCTGTACCGACCTCTCCCGAATTCTCTCCTAGCTCCACCCTGTGAACCAGCCAGGGAAGGTGAGTAGCACTTCCTTTCCTCTTCACGGTCCGCGGGCATCGTGTCCCTGGGCCTTCCGTGCAGGAGGCCGGTGGATGCTGTTTGCCCTCCGGTGGCAGCCGCCGAGGTCTACCATGACAGAGGCTCCCTGGGGACCAGGCTGCTTGTGTTCAGCTAGGGGAGCAGGTCTTGGCCCCACCTTCTCAAAACCACCGTCCCTTCTGTGGGAAGTCCCACCTCAGGAAGGGAGATGCTGTTTCCCAGGAAGTCACCGAGTGTGGAAGACGGATGTTAGAAGAATTGCCGCCCCCTCCCCCCAGCCTCAGGGGCTGCAAGGCCCCTGTGTCTTCCCCACGGGGTGCTCCCCCAGGAGCGATGGAGGAAACGCCACCATCACACATCCATGGGGAACACGACAGTCGGTCCCTGGGCCACGGGAAAGCGAAGTGCACTCTGCCCCCTTCCCATTTCCAGCCCTGCTCTGTAGCCAAAGCTCTTCCCCCGTGCGACTTCTCTCTCAAACTCTGGTTGGCGCAAACCCGCCATCGCTCTGATCCTGATTCAAATTACCAGACGAACAGAGGAGGAAGTTTTCCCCCCGAAGGAATCTTCCACTGAAGTGGGTTTCAATCCAGGATATGTCAGAACTGCTCTCTTATGCATAAAATACTAACCACAGGGCTCGAAGAGGCTTCCTGCCCCCCTCAAGAACACAGGCCGCACCTAGAGCTGGGGAGCACAGCTCTGCAGGGCCAACGGCCAGAGATACTCAGAGCCAGCCCAGGCTTCTGGAATGCTCTCCCAGGGTTCGTCCAAGTTGAACCCAGGCCATGGGTTAATGCCAACATGCTCTGTGCCTGACCCTGCTTTTACCTCATGAGTGCCCAATCTGAGCCTAAGTAGAAATCCAAATCCACATCCAGAAGAAACAAAGCCTTGCCAGGAGTTTGCCAGGTTTGCCTGGGAATACCTGAGAATTATCTGAAACAAGCTCTGAGCTGCAAGACTGAGCTCCAGCCTTTGCAAACTGCCCTATCCAGTGTCCCATTCCACACCACCTGCCCCATTCAGAAGAGTGGGGTACAGGTCCCTAGATGTCTTTTTTCCCCCTTTCTCTGTCCTCAGTCCTCTGGGGACTGCAGATTTCCAAGGAGAGAAGATAACCCCTAGTGCCAGGAATTCCAGGCCCCAGAGCGAATATTCTGGTACCAACGTTGAAATTAAGTTTTTGAAAGTCCCAGGATAAAGCATTCCAGTCGCAAGGCTTGAGGACGACAGGTGTTGGAGCAACAACCCCCTCTCAGGGATTGAGAACACTTGGCATTTTATCTGGTGAGGGGAGACAGGCTTTTCTTAGGAAAATTCCTAAACTTTCTCAAAGAGCCCAGGCTCTGAGGCTGGATAAACAAATGCCTTAAGAGCCAGTGTCCTCCAGGGTTTGATGTTTCCCCGGGTGCTGCAGCTGGGCCGATGGAGATGTGGGGAAGCAGGGCCCAGCTTTGCCCATCTGTAGTCCATCCGGAGAAGAGCCCCTATGGCCGGAAAAGGAGACATCCCTGAGGCTCAGGGTATGGGCTGAAACTGCCCCTTATGCCCATGGTTTGCACGAGGTTTGCACAAAGTCCCAGAGCAAGGGAGCTGGATGTGTGCATGCAGGATTTTCAGGCAAGCATACGCCGGGTCCTTCCATTCAGAGCAGCAGTAACAGGGGCAGGAGAGACTCAGTAAAGAAAGCATTGAATTCCTCTAATCTTTCCCCGACTGGCAGATCGTCCGGGGTCACAGTCTGTCCTTGAAAGACAGAGTGTGGCTCTGGGATGCCCGGGGGAGGGAGCCGAAGAAGATAACCAACATGATTCACGACAAGAATGAATAAACACACCTGCTGTTCCTGAAACGTCAGGCTTCACTGTCTCTGATAACAGTCGTCAGTACCCTGCCCGGTCTCCAGAAAAGGTGTTTTTAGTTCATGGATGGAAATGTCAAAGAGTGGGAACCAAGCTGAAGGCAGAGGTTGCCCTGTGGGTGGAGGAGACGCCGCATAAGGGCAGGCCGTGCTGGGGTGGGGGTGGTCTCTGCACCCAACTGGCCTTGTGCCAAATGCTGAGAACACAACGTGCCTCCTGTGGGAACTCTGAAACCCATTGCCCTGGAATGTGTCTTTTGTCCTTCTCTCTAGTGCTGCTTCTGACAGCCAGGCCCTCTCGGCCCAAGGAGGGGAGCTCAATGACCCTGACCTGTGAGGTGCAGGCCGCTTCTTGGAAGCCGGACGCCCAGCCCCAGTTCTGTTTCTTCAGAGACAGCCAGGCCCTGTGGCAGGGCTGGAGCAGCTCCCCGGAGCTCCAGCTCCCCACTGTGTGGAGGGAAGACTCGGGGTCCTACTGGTGTGAAGCGAAGACCTCAGAGCTCAGAGTCGCTCGGAGCCCCAGGATTCAGATACAGGTGCAAGGTGAGTGCGGGGGCCTGCGCCGGGGACCGACATGGGGCCGGGGGCACGAGGCTGCTCTTCCCTTGGGGGGAAAGGAACTGGTGGAGATGTGCCTGAGCTTCTCTCCTTCTCAGAGTCCTTAAGGGATCTGCCCTTACTCTTGCTAATCGCACTCAAGTGCACAGAAGAGTACTCAGGAACCCCTCACGGCGTCCTCCCTGGGCTGGAGAGCGGGGGCAAGTCGCTGCATAATCACGGCCCCTGATGGCACCCTCCTCAGCACGGGGGGACATGTGTGGCGGTGGTGGGGAGTCACGGGAGCTACAGAGAAGGGAGAAATCAGATCCGCACGGTAAGGGCAGGCTTTGGGCTATGGAAGGGGCAGCTGGGGCTTGGTTTTGAGAGAGAGGAAGAGAAGGGGGCGTTTCGTGACTCTGAACCATGTCACTGCCCGTCCGGGTAGGCACGCTAATGTCCTCCCCCGTTCTCAGACAACGATGCGTCCGTGGTGCCAGGAAGAGGATGTGGAATACCCCCAGAAGGTTGGCTTTCGCACCCTTGCTCAAAACTCTGCACTGGTGAGGCCGGACCAGAACAAAGAGCTGCTGGGCAGCAGGCCCCGCTCTAGGCCCCACATGCATTATGTCATGGGCCCGTCCCAACCGTAGGAGATAGCTAACGTTCCCCCCTGCATTGTATGGACGGGAAACTGAGTCTCAGAGAAGTGACGTGATTGGATCAAGCACCCACAGTAAGACGTGGGACCAGCGTTCAAGCCCCGACAGCTTGATCTGCCATCTGTTCTGGGGCCACCACAGCACGGTGCCTTGCAGAGTGCGGGTTTGAGAGCCCAAGGTCCTGGGATCCCCACTATCCCCGGGAGGGAAGGGTGCTGCATCTACCTTGGTAACTGTGTGGCCTTCCTCACCCCACCACGCCCACCTGGCCGGCCCTTCGCACCCCGCCACGCCCACCTGGCCGGCCCTTCGCACCCCGCCACGCCCACCTGGCCGGCCCTTCGCACCCCACCACGCCCACCTGGC